TATGAATTTATTTTATTTACCACTACGGCATCCTGTATTAGAACACAATAAACTTTACTTTATGTAGGCTAGATGGCGCCACGGACCCGCACTTACGTAACCCACGTGAGCCAGGTCACTATGACGTCATCACAGAACCCGAAACGACTCAAATCTCCCGCTATGACGCCATGACGTTTGACAGGTGACGTTTGACAGATGACGTTTGACAGATGACGGTTGACAAGATAGCGGGAAAACATTTCCCCCTCCCCTTTTTCTGGTACCCATATTAAAATCCGGGGGCCCCTTTTTGGGAGGGCGCAGCCCTGCGGGACCTCTTTTTGGGGGGGGCGGAGCCCTGAGGGCCCCCTTTTTGGGGGCGGAGCCCCGAGGGCCCCCTTTTAGGGGGCGGAGCCCTGAGGGCCCCTTTTCCCCGAGGGCCCCCTTTTTGGGGGGCGGAGCCCTGAGGGTCCCCTTTTGGGGGGCGGAGCCCTGAGGGCCCCCTTTTTTGGGGGCGGAGCCCTGAGGGCCCCCTTTTTGGGGCGGAGCCCTAAGGGCCCCCTTTTTGGGGGGCGCAGCCCTGCGGGCCCCCTTTTGGGGGGCGGAGCCCTGCGGGCCCCAACTACAGCATCCTGTATTACGAACTTCACACTATGTACGCTAGATGGCGCCATGACGTTTGACAAGATGGCGCCGACGATGCATCCACCTTCGTGTCAACGACGGCGCATCCACCACGTGTCAAGAATGAAAGATTGAGGTTATGGTCGGATTTTGATGCTAGAACCCCCTTTGATTATCTACTAACACAACATTTTTATTTAAGTAGTACTGCTATGATGAAAATATTCACATATATGCCTATGACGTAACGCCTTGTTTTATTATTGTCGCAGGTTTAATTGTTTACTCTAAAGATAAATAGTTTATCAGTATTGCGGCTGGACGGCTCAAGCAGTGTAATTTCCAATGCGACGCGTTAGCCTTATTTTTGTTTTTGTTGGTCGTGTTAATATAATTTAGCAATATATTGATGATAGATAATGAATAACTGAAGCAAAAATTCCAGGAAAATCCTCATGGAAAAAACTTTAGACTGAATTATTTTTGCAGAAAAATATTTGTATAAATGAGTCATGGGTCTAAGTAATGTTGACAATAAAAGTCACTCGAATTAGCGGCGATTTTGATCCGAATACGAGCGAAGCGATATAATAATATGATGTAGGTACCTAAATAATTTAAAAAAAATCTTCGGCTTGTTTTTTATATTGAGACGAGAGACCTCAGCCTTCTGACTGATTAAAGACTTGTTAGGACTTGCTTATCGCAGGAAGCCAACGTAATAAGCAACAATAAAATTGAAACGATGGCCCATATTTCTAGGAAAAGTTCGCTGGCGTGTGCAGATGGATACGAAGCTGGTGATTGGCTACAGACTAGTCAGAGCTTGTTTATCGCAGGTCACAGGAAAATAACAAGTTATGGTTTCGCTGCGGTTGCAATAAATGATGACGACCCGATGGCGAAACGACGTTCTTATTATTAGTTACGTCATCATCAGACCCGATGGCTGAACGACATTTTTATTATTAGTTACGTCATCATCAGACCCGATGGCGGAACAACGTTTTTATTATTAGTTACGTCATCATCAGTACAATGCACCTTGAATGAGGTACCAAGTCACGAGGTGCTATGTGTGTTCGATGAGCCGCTTGGAGCCAGGTACGGGCAATGACCCTGAACGCAGCGGCAGCTGACCAGTTAGTGCGACCAATGAAAGACACGGGAACTGAAAAGGGGGCGGGGTTTAGCGGCAACGACTGCCTGGCAGGCTGGACGGATGACCTTGAACGGTACAAAAATTGCCAGAACGGACCTTAGATTTTCTTATGGAGATTTACATGGGAAAATGGGTGAAAGTGTGCTCGAACTGTCATAGCTCCTTTACTCTCAAATTTGCTAGTAGGGCGTATTGATTTTCTAATTTTTTTACGGAACTTCGAATGTAATAATTAGGTAACTAAGTATTATTAACACATTACAAACATGCGGTATATCAATCTAAGTTTCGGTGAGCACAGAAAATATACATAGTATCAGAGCGAAAGCGGAAAGCGTCAATATGTTTATTGAATAATGTAATAAATGTAGAAACGTTGTCGCAGCATGCATGGCGATTTTAAACATCCAAATAAACAGAAGAGATCTGATTAAAATAATTTTGGCAAATTTCTTGTTCAAAACATTTTTGAGAAAATCGAAAGAGAGAACGCAACGCCAAACTCCATAGAAGTACCTAACTATGTAAGCCCGACAATCATAAAAATAAAAAAGGATATTTGGCCGCTGGAGACGTGATTTTGCGTGCGCATAACGCATAACTAGGTATATGGTACATTACAATCCATGAGTGCATATGGCACTGATTTACATTCCGTACGCGTGTATGGCACTCGAAATTTAATTGGTTTAAATTTTGGATCTGACCAATGGGATTGTGCTAGATGCCATATACATTTACGGAATGAATAAATGCTAACGATTATTGTAAAAATATTCCTTTTATCAAACTTCAAAATCATAATGACTTGCCCTCCCTAAGATAAATGTATCACCAAGGTGGTACGTACAGGGTGCTGCAATTTGGAGTGCTTCAACAGGAAAAACATACTTGCAGACCAAATAGAGGAAAATTGACTTAGTCGTCATGGGATCGATTTTGTGTGTGTAAGGAGAATGAGGAAGGTCTCACTTTTTTTCTCGAAGACTATTAGAGATAAACCTATCGAACTTTATATCATTGAAATCAGCAAAAACAGAGCTATCCAATAAGCTATTAATATATAGGGTGCTTTATTTGAAAATATCGGAATTTGGTCGATATCTCGGAATCGGAGCGATGTAGACAAAAACCGAGCCCGCCACTGGATTGTGCTTAAAAAAGTGTCTCCATAATGTTTTTACAGAAATAAAAAAAATTGATAAATAAAAAACTTATAGCCATTTTTCATAATAAGGGAAAATCGAAAATCGCCCTGTATTAATGGTACCATTGAAGATATCGCGATACGGTTTTTGACAATCGACGTTTCTCGAAAATCGATCCCATGACATCCAAGTCAATTTTCCTCTATCTGGTCGGGAAGTGTGTTTTTCCTATTAAAACACTCCAAATTGCAGCACCCTGTACATTGGAACATTATAGATAACTGGATTTGCATAAGGCGAAGAAGATGGTGATTTTGATCTTTGAGAAGAAAAATTTTCTTTAAGGGGATTCTATATTCTTCTAAGGTTCATTAGCGTGACGTCATAAATTGACGGTCTGTATCTAAACAAACTTTCAGTCCGTTCCAATTTACATTTCTCTCTAAAATAGTAGATAATGGTTTGCATCCACTCTACCATTTTCCATAAAACAGAGCCAGTACTATCTATCTAGAATGAATTAAGTTTATTTTTCAGAAAATCCTAACAAAAAACACTCATTTGACCATATGATATAATAGTGAGGTTATGAAAAAATACGGTTTTAATAAACTTTCAAGTTTATAATCGATTTTCCCTACCTAAGATGAATGTACGTATCACCAGAGTATGTACAGGGTGTCCGAATTTGGATGGTTTTAATAGGAAACGTCAATTTCTGAGCGAGATACAAAAAAATGAACCCCCCACTCCGAGGCTCAAATTTCATGAAATTTTGATTGGTGCAAACCGCATTTTAATATCTTCAATCTTCAACTAGAAAAAAACTGAGAACGTCATTCAATTCTGCTTAGGAAAGTGCTTCCAGAAAGTTTTTACGGAAATGAATTATTTTCATAAACAGAAAAGTTATGGAGGCTTTACAGTATTGCTCAAAATCGAGAATCGCCCTCTAGCGGCTAAACGGTTGAAGATATCAAAATGCGGTTTGCAACAATCAAAATTTCAAGAAACATGAGCCTCGGAATGGGGGGTTCGTTTTTTTGTATCTCGCTCAGAAATTGATGTTTCCTTTTAAAACCATCCAAATTCGGACACCCTGTACATGCATTAAAAAATTATAACTGGAGTTGAATAGGGCAAAGCAGATGGTCATTTTACAGACGAAAAATCTTCTACAAGCGGATTTTACATTCATTCAAGGTTCATTAGTATGACGTCAGAAATTGCCGGTCTGTAGGTATCTAAAAAAACTTTCAGTTCGTTTCAATTTAGCATTGTAATGGTTTGCATCCAGTATACCATTTTTATACAAAACTAAGCCAGTACTATGTAGACGGAAATAAAGCCAGTACCTACTATCCAGACTCAAATAGGTTTTAATTTTTGAAAAACTCCTAAAAAAACACTAATTTGACTTAAGATAATAATGTGGTTATGTGTAAAAATGCAGCTTTTATTAAATTTCAAGTTTATAATCGATTTCCCCGAGGATTTCCACTTCCTAAAATAAGGTACAAGGTACATATACCTTCAAATAAATATATTCAATTAATTGCTCAGTTAGTCTGAAGTTTGTGTAGATACAGCAAATACAACCAGTGACGTCAGCACTAATCATTGTACAAAATCCAGGCCTAAATTCATTTAAAATCACAAATTGAAAATATAATTTATTTTCGATCCATCTTTCTCTAATTAATTCTGAGGCTTAGACATTTCCACAAATAATAAATTATAAATAAATAATACAATTATAATTCGCAACGAAACTATAAAAATCCCCGGAATGTTACCCTTCACGAAATAAACTATGCAAACTATTTTAAGTGGTTGTGGTTAAAATAACAGCAAGTTCAAGGCAAAACCGCAAATAATTTTATTGTCGAGGATTTATTAGAAAAAAAAAAATTGCATTATTTAATACAGCAGCGTATGATAATGAAACTTTAGATGGGGATTTTTTAAATTTTTATTGCCTATAGGAGAATTTATTGATGTAATGCAAAATCTGTCGTGCAATAAAAAAAAGTTTAAAAATAATAGAACTATTGATTTAAATAAGGTTTTTCTTTTTGTTTCAGGTTTTACTGGGACTTGTGCATGTTACTACTGCTGGTAGCGAATTTAATAATTTTACCTGTGGCCATAAGTTTCTTCAACGACGATTTAAGCACACGATGGATAGCGTTCAACTGTCTATCGGATACGATATTCTTAATCGATATTGTAGTCAATTTTAGAACAGGTAAGAACCTAATTTGTTGAATAGAAAAATGTTATTTCAGCTTTTATGATGACGTTTCGACACTTTTTGCACCAACTTCAGAGGCAGACTTATTACTGTTCAAAGTAGAAGTTTTTATTAGGTAATACTTGTCATTTTTGATCCAAAAGAGTAGGATGAGTTCTTCTAAAAAAAGTCTATAATTTAATTGACCGGACAAATTTGCTCTTTGTTCCTGGAGATAACAGGAACACGGCTTCAATTGAAATAATAGAATGAGATTAAATTGTTATTCCAGTACTATTCCTCAACAATCTAATATACAAATTAGTCCCCCGAACTATGATGGAATGCAATTGCTACAATAATTATTTGCATAATTAAATTATTTATGTTTATGTGAGTCTCATACTCTCAAGAGTGCCCCAATGGGCTTAGAATAATCGTGTTATCAAGTTAATGCATGTAAATTATTCAAGAAGTTGTAACATGGCCAAATGTTACTGTCTTTTTTATTTCCATGTGTTATTTTATAAATTAAATTGCCGCCTTGAATCTTCACAGTCTGGTGACTGTCATTATTGGCACAATTTCTGTTGCAATTATTTTAAACTAGAGGGATGATTTTCGTTCTAGTTTGAAGTACCAGTTTAGTACCAACGCTTTCCGTTTGATATTTTTTGAATGAAAGCTCTGCCTGTAGAGATTGTCCATTTTCTTCGTCCCTTTTTAATATCTCCGGTGCCCTACAAAGTCAACTGTGGCCGGGGGGGGGGGGGGGGGGGGGGGGGGCAGCCATATTTTACCGTTCTCGTGAAGAAAAATACCTTACCGCCCATCAGGCATTAGTTTGGCGATATAAAGCTGCGCAAGGCAAAGTTCCGTTGATTCCCGAAAAAATTTAATTAAAAAGTCTCGTGATTACCGTTTTATTCAAGTTTGAATTCCGAACCTTTGAGTCTTTTCTAATTTTTTTAAAAGTAATGGTTGTTCATGGAATGCCTCTATTACTTAGGGTTTTCCGAGGAGCTGTTTTACCGGAGAGCCGTTTTTTTCCGAGGAGCTGTTTTTCCGAGGACCGTTTTTCCGAGGAGCCGTATCTCTCAGGAAATCCATTTTCAGCAAGCCCTGTTTTCGGGCAGCGTGAGCATAGAGTTTTTGAAGTGATTTTCTGGAGAAATCGAGTCCCTCACATGTCGATACCTGTACCCCCCCATTAGACGAAGAAAACTGAACTTCTACCCTTGATTCCAGGCTAGAATCTGCAACTTCCCTCGTCCTGTGACCAAAAATGTATGGTTACCGACTACTGTACTCTACCTTTTTGTTGGAATTGAGGTTTACATAGAGTCTCAATTATAACTCTTATTACTATTTTTTATGAAGTCTATTTTATGACAATAATACCATAATTGATTGACTTTTTACCGACATTACATTTAAAAATTTTTATATCCTACTGACTATTATAACAACCATATAATACCTTGGTTACGATAATCATAAACAGGGTCATAACTCCCGCGCGGGAGTTAAGGATTTCCATAACTCCCGCTTCTACCCTAGATAGGTAAAGTTTTGAGAAAAAATAGAAATTTTGGTTTATGGTTTATTCCTTCATAAAAATGGACAAAATACGGTAAATTCAGTAGGAAATAAAATTATCTATGTACCACGGGAATTATCAGGTGTTAATACCCACGGGCAATTAGGTGCTAGCTGACGGTACACACATAACCTCAACGACACGTTTGTCCACCTATCGAAAGTCACGTTATGTCATTGGTCACAAGCTAGCGACTGTGTGTTAAATAGACCTTTCAAACGCTTTGTTTGTCCCCCCAACGAAAGTGAGGTTATGTGTGTGACGTCAGCTAGTGCTCACACACTCATAATTCCCTTGATACATAAATAACTATAAAATTTCAATTTCATTCATTATATTCTGGACGCCGAAGTGAACTTTAAATAATTAATTCCGATTTTTGATTTACCGTATTTACTGGAAATTATCTCTACTTAACTTTAAGTATCGCCATATTTAAAGAATGTACTTATATTTTATCAATGATAAATTAATCAGTAATCTGAACACAAGTCTAGGTTTTTCGAATTGCTTTTATACTCTGAAATTATTCAATACTTGATTTTTGGCCTCACTGTGAAATATAAACCACATAATTATTCGAAACTTATGGCGTTTCCGATTGGTGGATCTAGTGCGGAACTAGCGCATTTTTTTCTATTTCTGTCTTTTTCTTCTACAGGTCGATTAAAAGAATGCAAAAACACTCAATGCATACTGAATCTACCAAACGAAAATGCCATTACAGAATTGTTTTATTGGTTTTACCCTGCTCGAATGTTTTACCTATGTCAAGATTTGGTTGAGTTATATGCCGTATTTATTTCCTTTTCAGAATTACCAATTACCGTTTGCTGATTATTTTTGTTCAGGTGTGTTTCTGAATTTTCACACCCCAATATTTTATGTAATTTAATATATTTTTTTTAAATTGTATTTATCAAACTATCAACCCACCCCTAATAATTATTCGCTGAGCAAACTGAGCATATCATGGGCCTCTTGTTAATTTATTAAAAAAAGGGGTTACAAAGTTTTTAGTTTTTGGATGTTTCTTTCTAGGAACTTATTTCTATTTCCTCTATCAATCGAGGATACGCTTTCAGAATTCTTAAATGCAGTCGACTCTACTCTCTACTTTTTTTGATCATCTAAATTAGCAGTCATTCAGACATCGAAGTAAATCAATAAGAGGATTTTTGCTTTGCCCTTAATTGGTTAGCTTGCATTTTTTGGGACTTACACCTCAATTGAAATTTCCACCAGAAGTTTCTTGATCTTGAAACGAATTACTACAAGCTTGCTGATTAGAGACCCAAATGTTTTGCAAATGATTTCAAGCTTTTCGTATTTGTTTTGGTCTATATTTGTAACTTGAGAACTGTGTTTGAATCATGTCCAAAATCCGTCAATTCTTTATTCAAATAACCCCTTCTTGTGAAAAAATCATCTAACCAACAATCTATCTTTATGTTGATTCAATTTTCCATCTTCATCACACTTTTAGTGAATCAACTTCTGCCTGAACAACTTGCAACCGTTTGCTGGATTGATCTCTTATTATTCCAGATAATTCCTGTGTGTGAATTGTCAATAAATGATTCTGATTCTGCTACATAATCTAGATATTATGGTTGGTTTTCCTCCCGATTACTACTCCTTTTTGGTCCGCTTCTGTTTCTTTAACATCTTCAGATTCTATCTGAGCTTGATTGTTCTGTACATTATCTATAACTTCAACATTTTCTTATATACTTTCTTACAATAGTTTCTTGATTCGTGTTCTCGATAATTAACGATTCGTTTTTCTTGGATTTACCTTCAAATCTATCTCTTCTTCCTCCTCCTGAATTTGTGATTTCGCGGCTGGCCAATTTTGATCAAATTTGACATCAGGAGTTCGGATTTTCTTCACAATATTTGTGCTTTAGTTCTAATTAATTTGAGATGACTGCAGAACCTTCTTGGAACATAAAGTTTATCTCAAACATCTTCTAAATATTTTTTTGCAGCAAACGGGACTTCTCTTCCTAAAAGTTGCTCTTCCATTTTGATTCAATCTGCGAACAGAAATCAATTGCTATTCTTATGAGTTGATACAACTCAACTTCTAGTAATGTGATCGGTTGCATCACTATCGAAGTAGAAAACTCTACGACCAACAAGTGACTTACCTACTTGTAAACACTATACAAGAATGATTTCTTCATCTACATCTGCTGGAGCTGATTTAGTATTCTATCCATCGTTTTGATCTACAATCTACTCTTTATTCTCAGTAAAGTAGGTAACATTTAACCTTGGAATTTGGAGTGTTTTGCTTTCCTAGGGCTCACTCCAAAAAACGATTTGACTTCATCATGGCTAGACGTTTTTTTCTTATTTGCGTTGACCAGTCTTTAATAAAAATTAGAATTAGGAGTTCCTAGTGTGGTTAAAACTTGTATTTCTCCGGCATAGTGTTTCACAAGAGTCTTGCAAATTTCTTGTTCTTGTCTTGTTCTTGCTGCAAGAACAAGACAAGATTCTCTTAAATTTCTTGTCTTGCAAAGCAAGACAAGACAAGAAGTTGCCAAGCAAGACAAGAAATTATTCTGCAAGACTCTTGCAATCTTGCAAAAAAATTAAGTCTCCTTCTCTGCATATTTTTGAATTAATTTTGGCAACGTTGCGGCAGTTAACAACGAGATAAAAATGTCAGCATTCAGTTTGTAAAGTCAAAGGCATTTTTTTGCGACAAAACGTTCTGAAATTGTAGTTTCAAAACACTCAAACAGATGACAGTTTCTAACAGTTCTTGCAGCAAGTATGGCTAGGAAAATTTTTGGTCATGATGGACAACGACACTGCACACACAATATTGAATTTTAGGCTCAATGTGAAGTCCTTTTCGTTTTCAACCATCAAAGAATTAAGTCGATTTTTTTTTAGGTCTATTAGCATTGTAGTGCATAAAATAGTGACGTTAGAGCTGAAACTGTTTTATTACGGTTTTTGAAACTGTTTTCTCGAAAAAAAAAAAAAGCCTTTAAATCAGGAAAGATGACAACCACGTTATCAATGACAATGACACCAATCCAGAGATCACCGATCATAATCTTAAGGGCTCCACAAACAATGGCTACGTTCACCAGAACCAAAACGGATTGTAAACCCTTTACAAATACCAACAGAATATGTTGGGTAAACTCTTGATTCTGCTGAACGATTCAACTTTTCAATGATAGAACGTCACCTTCTGAATGACAGGTCACCACAAAAAACACAGTGTTGAAAATTATAAACACTCTGAAATTATGTTTGCAAAAATGGCGACCGTTTGCAAAACATGTTTGGTTTTAACACCAATTCAACGTAGCGTTCAGCAGAATAATCGCAAACCGTTTACCAACGTTTGTATCTGGTGAACGCGGCCTATAATGATACACAACAGTTTTCATCGCCACGATGAAACACGTCGTTCCATAAGCGAAGTGCGTGTGGTAGAAAACCGTCGTGTTTTTCTACCACACACGCCCCCGAGACGCTTTTGAACGTAATGAATGATGCAAGAGTCTTGCAGCAAGAATCTTACAACAATACTCTTGCAAGCAAGACTCTTGCTATGACGTCACAAAACAAATAATGCAAGAACCAGAAATTGCAAGAAATCTTGTTTGAAGACAAGATTTTTTTCTGCAAGAGTCAGGCAAGACAAGAATGAATTTCATTTCTTGTCTTGCTTTGCAAGACACGACAAGAATAGGCCCAACAAGGCAAGAAATCTTGTCTTGTGAAACACTACTCCGGCATTCCTAGATAGAAGATAACAAACACAGATCATTCCTCTAAAGTCCTCAATTTTTGATAAAGAAGGAGGCACAATTTACATTGAAAATAGACCCCGTAAATTTCAACCAAATTTCAATATTTTAAAGGTGTCATCATTGCAAGAAAAAAATTGAAATGTAAAGAGGATCGTATGTCTGTGATATCAGATATAGCTCATCAAAGTACCTACGTAGGTCCTGCTATGCTATGCATAGGAAATATCCTTACGTAGGTTTTCTTGAATATCTCGAAAAATAATAATCCGATTTTGACTTTTTTGGAGTTTAATACCTACAAAAGGACCCCAAAAACTTCAAAATCAGATAAGTATATTTCGAGATATTCAAGAAAATCTACGTAGGCATATTCCGCACCCTCGCGCCCTCTGAATGCTCTCCAGAGGAAAAACCCTCAAAAACCCCCGTTAGTACGCGCGATTTATAGTAAAATACTGTGTCTCAAGGCCTAAATATTATTGATTACAATTCATGTAATTAACCCCTAATTGTTGCAAGTCACCTCGGATGAGCAAAATTCTCTCCTACGCGATTGTCTTTTGGCTCTCTCTCACTGTCGACGGGCTCCAACGCACCTGTATATCATTGTGTTTTCTTTCCATCTCAGTGGAAAATTCCCTAGCTGCCAGTGTTAATAGTGGTGATAAATGGATAAATAATCGCCTTGTGGATTTATTTGCATGAACCGGATTAAGCAAGTAAGACTGTTACAATTTCTCTAACAGTCGAACAATAAATACTGATTAATGATTCGCTTGAAATGCACTATAAATTGAGGTGTTATCTAACGTTTAATGCAGAAATTTGGTTTTAACATTCGTGAAATTAAATTTTGTACATTTGTATATAGAAACTAAGCATATAAAAAGACTTTTCTTGCACATATTGTTTACAGACAGCAGAAAAGTGCTCAAATTGTTAACTCTCAATGAATAAAAGAACTTTCAAGGATCAATAAACATTTTCTGATTGCAGTGAACTGATTGAAGTTGACGAATTTGGACTTATAGTTTCAGAAATAAAATCGTGTTAAGCAAATTGGGGTGATTTATCAATTTTTCAATTTTTCTGAATGCCTTTCTTCATAGAATCCGCCACCAAATCTCAGAATAATTTAGTGTATGGACGTTATGGAGTTGGGGGGGTCCCAAAAGACCATTAAGACACAAAATCTCAACAATTTTTTTTTTTGAAATTTCATCGTTCTAGTACTGAGGTAGCTATTTTATGATTTAGATTTTGGAAAACTTTGAAAATTCATAACTTTTTTTCTATTATAGATAGAAAGTTGAAATTTTCAGCGATTCTTACATTCCAGTAGAGGACTACAATCCCTGAAAATTTCAGCTCATTTGGACTTATAGTTCCAGAAATAAAAACGTGTTAAGCAATTTGGGGTGATTTATCAATTTTTCAATTTTCCTGAGTGCCTTTTTTCATAGATTCCGGCTCCAGATCTCAGAATAACAGTGTATAGAGTTTGGGGCGTCCCCAAAGGATCATCAAGACACAAAATCTCAACAGAATTTTTTTCGAAATTTCATCGTTTTAGTATTGAGGTAGCTACCTTATGATTTAGATTTTCGAAAACTTTGAAAGGTCATAACTTTTTTTCTATTATAGATAGAAAGCTGAAATTTTCAGCGATTCTTATTCCACTCGAGGACTATAATCCCTGAAAATTTTGGTTATTTGGACTTACAGTTCCAGAAATTTTTCTGATGATTTTCGATAGGGTTTCACATTCATCTTCTGACAGGTGATTAATACTTCCTTTATCAACATTGTGTCCTGTGCTTTCAATTATTAGAATTCGTACCACCATATAGGGAATTTTATGTATTTTTCATCATCGAATCCTTGTGGTGCAACTTCATCCTCCAAGCACCAGGATTAATTATTTTTCCCAAATAAAAGTGCAAAACTGGTCGAACACGTTCGCATAAAATAAAAATGTGCCAAATCGGATTAAAGTATTTGATGTTTGTTTCAGGTATAATGCAACAAGACAATGCAGAACAAGTAATATTAGACCCCAGACTAATAGCCCGGCACTATCTTAGGGACGTGGTTTTTTCTAGACCTCATTTCATCGATACCTTTAGATTATATATTTTTAATTTTCAATCAGGTAAGTTTGAAATGGATAATTCTTTGAACATGTATTTGTTGAGTTTCATTCAAAGATTTTTAAAATTCTTACAAAGTTTTAAGGATGGTTTATACAAAATTTTTATTCTACTGACCATTTTCTTCTAGTTCCAGGATTATGGTGATAGTTTTCAGTTCCTTCACGCAGGCAGAGCACTTCGAATATTAAGATTAGCCAAGCTTTTATCTCTAGTAAGACTTCTTCGATTGTCCCGTTTGGTCCGTTATGTGAGCCAATGGGAGGAAGTCTATGTAAGTATCCATACATAATCCATAAATTATTAGTGATGAAGTTGTAGTCTGCAATATTAGATCTGTTTGCACAGAAATCACAAATCAGTCGAAGTGAATTTCATTGGTTGAAACTAGTTTCCAACCAATGAAATTCGCTCTGACTGGTCTGGAATTTCCGTGCGAACATACCTAAGACTTATTACAAAAATAGGTTTAGAAACATTTTTTTTTCCATTTTTATTTTAGCTCAAATTAGTGATCTAGTTTTTAAAAAAAAACTTTTGCTTTTTAATACACCCTACTATGAAGAAAACACAGAAATCAAAAACTAGCATAGAAATATCAAAGTGCTTACCATATGGCTTCAATAATACACAGTACACAGAAAGCATTCAGAGCAAGCGAAAAATACACACACAATAATAGATAAACAACAAACAATAAAAAACAAATATTCCTACATATTCTATATGGAGTAAACAAAAGTGAAATAAATCAAAGGTAGACACATTTTTCTAGATATTTCAAGTACCTATCAAACAAATAAAGATACATTGACGAAAATTTAAGAAACATCAATAAATAGTTGTTTTTGTAGCTGACAGAGATTATTGTTTCTAGTTATATGGCAACTGTATCAGTTGCCTCACTATTTGCATTTAAAGTTTACCTTGTCTTCTTTTTTGTTGAAATTTCCAACAAGCCTTTACCAAATAAATATGTCAGAGGCTGGTTTCGTATTTCAAATAAGTGCTCTCTACAGGTAAAGCTATAATAACAGTCTTCAAGACAAGCTTTTCTCATCTTGGGCAGATTTCATCTTGATTTTGCTAAACCTGAATTTTCCTTCCGGGTAGTTTAATGCAAATCAGTGAAATGTAAATCAAAGTTTATTAGGCATGAATACTGTTCTTGGCACTTTAAACTTTCTCCATAAGCAAATTCAACTGAAATGAGCTCGTCTTCGCTTCCCTGTCAGTTAAGCTTAAATTTACCTTTATATCGACCGTCTTTAGAATTTCCAACAATACCTACTTTATGTTAAGTATATAGTTCCGGATGAAAGGATCCTTTTTGAATCGATATTTCTTGATTTTCGTATTTGTATTATAACTTCATATAATATCTTCTGTTGAAATAGAAATTCGGAATATGTAAAAATTTTGTCCCCTAAAAGCTTCCAGTTTTAACAATGAGTTTGGATTCTATTTTGTTAGCAATGGTTATAAAGATATCAGAATGATGAGTTATTTAAAGATAGCTAATGTAAGTATACTATAATATTTGCCTTTAGATTGAAAATTGAGTATTGACAAAATTATGTTTGGCAGGAAGGATTGAGCATTGAAACTATGCCATAATGTCTTCTGGTTTTTTTATATAAAACGGTTGAGGTAAACACTTCTAGCTGTAACACCCCATAGATTAAATCACAAAATGTACATAAATACGCTTCTGTCTATATGCATGCGCGCTTTAACAACGCCTTCATTCTTCATCATCAATTTTCTTTTCATGTACAAAATATTATTATTTCCTATCAACAATTTTTCATTCATCTCTATATAACTTCTACGTTCTTCTGGACAATGCGTCGTTTCACTACGCTTCCTCTCTATTATCTTGTGTTCTTCGCTTTCTAGATCTTGCAGAATCTTCAAAAAAAGCGAACGGAAAGAAGAGGGCGTTACAGTTCGGACCTCAACAAGTCTAAGTCTAGCACGAAAAGCAATCTCATCTTTAAGGTAAAAAACCTGCTTCTGTCTGAACCCGCTTCATTTAATTACCTACTTAAAAAACATTTTTTGGTGCGCAGCATGTCCGACGAAAACGCTCTGCGCTTTGCTTCCGCTGTCAACACAATAATTATTTATTATGTTTTCTTTCACAATTTTGTTATTTGTAATTAATATAGTTTTTCTTTGCAGTAAATGCAGTTGTTGATAATTTTTACCCTATACAATGCAGTTAAACAATGCTTTAATACCATTGCAAATATTTTTTATAGAACATTATTGAAGCGTATTTTTTTTTTAGCTAAACGCAGATTCGAATAGAATGGTAAAGAATTAGTTAGGTATTTTATTTTAATTTATTGAACATACTAGAATAATTTTTTTGCTAATCTGCTATTGCAAAGTTGAGTCAAAATATCAATATATGGACTTCAGAGGTGAGTTTAAATATCGTATCCAATGAAATCGATTATGGAGAATCGATATCCACAAAAAAATACAATATAATATGTTGATAAGTATCGGATGATTGTCTATATTTTGCACCCACACCTATGTCACTTGTTTGAAGAAATACCCAGAAATGTCAAATGTGAAAGTTGTAGGTCTTATCAGATCAGAAACTTTGCAATGAAGTTAGTGTGGCAAAGCAAAGTTATAATTTTTTAAATGGAACACTCCGTATATTATTAACCTATTGGAAAAGCCTTTCAAACGTGATTCCAAATATGCTAGGTTTTTTAGATTTATTATAGTCCAGCCTCTGAGTATCTCATTTTGAAGCAATAATATGGATTTTTCACCTGCATGATCACCTTTTGCTGGTGGTCTCTATACTCCACCTTTATCCATAAAAATGCAATTATTTCACCCCTTCTTTTCATATTTTTTATTAGCAATAAACCTAAAAATCTAGTATATTTGGAATCAGGTTTGAAAGGCTTATCCAATGGGTCAACAATATACGGGGTGTTTAATTTAAAAAAGTTTAACTTTGCTTTGCCACACTTTTGTGACAAACTCTGTATACTTTTAACTAACTTCATGGAAAACTTTCTGATATTACCTATAACTTTCACATTTGACATTTTTGGGTATCTCTTTAAACAGGCGAGATAAGTGTGAGTGCAAAATATAGACAATCACCCGGTACATCTATGAATAAGAGAGAAAACTCACTCTTAAATTTTTGCGTAGATTGTAAATTGCAGGGAGCTTCTACCCCCCTATTCTCAAGAGATTTTTTGATAGATTTACATTTATAAAAGCTGCAAGAGTGTTTATTATTTGATAATTGCTTACCTTACTTCATCGGAGTTTCTCTCTGATTTCCATAATGATTCCCAGTACTTATTTATTCAAGCCTCCTTGAACTGCCTTTTGGATATTATGAGCAGCGGATAAAATTCGAGATTTACAAGAATCTTCTAGGTTCAATGTTGCCTGTTTCCAACTATATATAAATATTCAAATCTGGATATCAGTTTGCCATGATTTACACCTAATAATGACTGGTGCAAGGCCCCCTAATGATATTTTGATACCGATTTCATATTCTGTAGATATCCATAATTGCCAGGAATTACTGAAAAAATTATCCTTTTATGTTCAATAAATTAAATGGAGAGCCATCCATAAACAATCCATACCCTATCCAAAATTTATCAACATCGACTCGACAATATCAAAAACAGCCTGCAAAATTCGGGATATTCGTTTTAAATATATCCTACCATCTGGTTCTTGGCCAAAAATCCCCATTTAAAACTCAGAAAAAGTTCAAGCGACGAAATAAACAGGAACTTGTTTAAAAGACACAAGGGAAAACATGAAATTCCCATCTCTGGCTCAACTGCATGAGAATTAACCTGTCCTATGCATTATGTAATGTAAAAACCATGCAGATCCCAGGATCAAGCATAAACCCTAACTGGAATATTATACCAGAAACAAGTAAGCTTTGAACTTTACCTTAAAACAAGAAAGGACATTTTACCTATAAATAACAGCTTTAATTAAAGTCGATATAGATGAAAATGTTTAGTTGCGGATTGTTTTAAATGGCTCCTCTATCATTGTATAAAAACTTTCAGAATGTCTTCCCTCTAGAATATAATATGTAATTCTGATCTAAAGGTATATGTAGTTTAAAATTTAAATTAGGTATGCAATGGTAGAAAGAAACTTCTAAGCTATTATAGAGGTATAGAGCTAGATTTATTTTTTTCAAATTAACAGGGTGTTTCCCCATATTTTAACACACCACCTTACAGGTAAAAGAAAGATGTAAATACAAACGTTGTTGAAGTTTTTGATGAATGCTCTATATTTGGTTCTTGAAGAGCTCAATTTTCCCTGTTTGCTTAAGCTGGCTCCAATATATTTGGCTCTAAAAATTATAAAAATACCTATCAGAAAACTCTTAGATTTGGTGAACCACCTGCAAAGCTGAGGTAAGCTGTGGCTGAGGGCTGAAATTTGAGGATTTTCTGATAATTAATTTTACAATTTTTGAGCCAAATATATTGGAGACGGCTCAACCAACTATACAGGGTGTTTTCTAATTGAATGTCAATATTTTAGGAGGCGATTTCAATTTTAAGACGAAAACTTTATAACGGTTCTTCAAAAAAAAAAAAACAACTCAAAGATTTCTATGGTTTTTTAAACGTATGTCTTAGCAATATTTTTCTTTAATTTTGTCAATGAACTTTAATGTCAAAATGTCATGTCCAATGAGTGTATATTATATAGGGTGTCTCATTTGAAAAAACGTATGTTTGGTTCATAATTTGAAAAATATCACTTCTAGAGGAAAACTGACTACGCCACTGTGTTACAAATAATACTCGTTATTTGAACTTTAAGATAAGAGAACCTAGGGATGTGGAATTCAAAAAATTAAGATAACGTGTAGCTCCTTTATGTGCAAATGAAACCACTCAAAATTCAACAAATAATTTTATTTTGTTTACAATGTAAGTAACAGTCAATGTTACTTTCTCTAAAA